TGCGCAACTGGCCGGGGCCTCCACTGCCTCCTCCACCGCTTCTCAGCATTTCGCATCTCAGTAAGTGAGGGTGCTGGTCTACACGCCTTTGTGGATTAAATAAATGGTTTAAACTTAAACCATACTGTTGCTGAAACATGACCTGGGCCTGAATAGAACAGATGAACTCCAGATAAGGTTGCATGAAGACAGGTATTTATTCTGGGTGTGGACCATCCACCACCGAGTTGATATTAATCCCTCCGAATCGGATTTCAACCTGAAAGGTGAACTCTCCCAGTCAATATGAAGGATGTTATATCCATTTTTGGAAAGAAAAGGAAACGGCCAGACGAGCCAGAAGGCCGGACAAAGGGCCGGAGGGCTGGATGGATGGCCAGACAAAGGTCCGGATGCAAAGTGATACCACAGGGGTAAAAGGGTACACCAATTAACTTGGCCTTAAGTTCGGAGAAGAGAATAAGACAGAGATCTGAAGTAAATATGTATTTATACTAAGTATGGAGATAGTCTGGATGTGGACAGAGAAGAAAGAAAAGACAATAGGGATAAGCAAAGACAATAAAGACAACAAGAGAATACATGTGGGCATAAGTCATATAGTTGAGAATGGGGAAACACTCAGTAAATTGCTTGAAAACCCCGAGGTGTGTGTCGACGGCTAAGGCTGGATGCAACAGCAAGAGAGACGGACGCGAGCTGGAGCATGGATGACGTGTCCGGACGGAAGAGGAGTTGGATCCGAGGATCCGGATGGAGGACGGATATGTCTGGACGAGGCCGGACGGGGTCGGATGTGCACGGGCATAACAAAGGAGCTTTGCGAGCTGAGATGGGACACTCATGTATCAGGTTCAAGTTGCACACACCAAGGCCAGGAGGGGATGTGAGCCCCACCAATGGGGAAATTTTTCAATTAGAAGAACAAAGGACGTGGAAAACTAGCAAAATCAAAGAGGCTTCCACAGCCCTAGCAAAGGCGGAGCCTGTGAATCCAGAATGCGCCATGACGCGTCGCCGAGTCGGTATCCCTACTGATTTTGACCAGAATAAATGAGGACCATCTGCGTTGCAAGGCCTTAAGGAAGTTGAACGTGCTTTCTTTCCTGCAATGGTTCAAATGTCGAACACATGAAACTTTGCGCGATACTCGACCTCATTTCTCTATCTCAATGTGAGATAACAGAGGGACCGCATGCCATCGACCCGGGCAACAAAGGTGCGACTTACCTGTGTCGCATTTTTTCATGCTTAGCGCAGATTGATATGGGACGCTGACCATGACCGACCCCGTGGTATCCGTGATTTGAACCTGAATAAATCGACCATAAAAATAGTGAATCAATGTAGAGCGCCGAGGAGTCAATTTCTAGTGAGTTGGTTTATGCTGAGGGGCCAGTCGGGCTCTACGTCTCACCCCTCGAGTCTCCGTTCTCCATGTCTCCCATTTCATTCAAACCCGCACTTCTAGCCGGCGTGTTCTCCATCGCCGACTTAGTCTGTGGCGTCGTCGTGCCACCGCTCTCCAGATCCTTCTCTGCCGACACACTCTTGACCACCGCCGCCTTCCGCCGTGCATCCGCAATGCTCTTGCGCGCTTCCCATCCGCCTTCGAACCCGAACCACGTGTAACGCACGCAGTGCGGCCCGTGCAGCATCATAATGAAGAGCATCCATGCGTAGAATCCGAGATTCAGTGCTGCTGCCGCGCGCCAGCCGTACTTAGTGAATACTTCGGTTCCCACGGAAGTTCCTATCAACTGCCCGATGAAGACCTATAAAAGCTAGTGAGTTGATGGGAGGACACTGAACGAGGGAATGACTCTGACCGACAGCATCAAGACGGCATTTAACCGAGCGCGGGCCGCCACGTTTGTGCTGCGTAGACATTAATATGACTATTAATCTTTTGGTGAGCGTGTGCATACCTGAAGACCGCAGTGGCGAGTGACATCTGCAGCATTTGGCGGAAGACATCAAGGCCCATGATCACGACTACAATCGCCCCCACGCTGATGTCACCTGCGCCGACCTGAATGGCCTGGAAGCACAGGGCCGCAAACACGGCCACAAGCGACGCTTACCCGGGGACAAGCTGATCGACCGCGCGCCCGACCATAGGCCCACAAGCAACCCCGAATATACCGACGAGACCGAAGAGCCCGATCACAAGTGTGGAATAGTACGGAGGCCCACCGAGCAGGAAAGTGAGGTGACCCAGAAGTTTGTGAAACACGCGGAGGCGAGGTTTACGAGGCGCGCCTGGATAAGGATCGGCTCCCTGTATGCGAACTTGACCATGGTGCGGAGAATGCCCCAGTATCTGAGGTCGCTGTTTTTCGCGGGGTAGTCAGGGATGACAAAGTAGCCTGCGATGAACACAAGGAATTGGACGCCGATGGCAAAGTAGTATCTGTTAGTGGGTGCGTGAGCCGGAATACAATGTGGTAGGTAGTTTGGCGCCCACACAATTCGCCATGATGTGAATTGTCCAAGGATGCCAGCAAGTACAGGGGCAATGAGGATCCCGAACAGAAGCCCAGACAGTACAACAGAGATGGCTGAGGCGCGGCGTTCCGGCGGGGCGAGGTCAGCAGCAAGATGCTATGTATGGTTCACATATTTCATCGAGAAAAAGAACATTGAAGCCAACTATCATGATTTGCGGTATTACAGATACCACGCCGATTAAGAACGACAAAGTCTCGAACACAACCAAGTTGCGTGTTACGGCGAGGCCGATTGTGAGAGAACCTGAAACGACGGACAACAATAGGATGAGCTGCCGTCGCCGCACGAGATCTCCCAGAGGTGAGATGAGTAGGATGCCCATTGCATATCTGTCGAATATTTTGAATGGAGCCAATTAAGAAATTTACCAATATTCATACCCCGCCAGGCGCCTGCAGTAGTGTGGGGATGCTTGAAACACACATTAGAAAAGTGAGTAGACATATTCAGCCACCATACCGAGAGACATGGTTGTAGTCCACGCCGAACGAGTCGGAGAATTGAACTGGAGTGCTCGGCATTAGCAGAAATGGAGCCAAAAGTGCAAACTGACTTGGTAGTGGCTTAGAATGAAATCGCACCATCAGATAAAAGGGTGACGATATGAATTGAGACATTTAAAACGAGTCCAAAATGGAAGGGTTTTTGCGGGTCATATCGCAGTCGGCGAGGTATCGGAAGGAAACCAAGGTCGCGAGTCATTGGCACAGGCTCTTTGGTTCGTTCGGCATTGCCGTAACCAGCAATGAGCCCTGGCTTTTCGTGTGGTAACATCGCAGAGGCAGGTGAAATGCTTTCGGGGGCGCCAGAACTGAATTAGAGGTGTACTGGGCAAGTAGCGGGACGTCTCTCTCGTTACGCACAACAAACTATTTGCTTTTATACACTGGGCCAATGTTCCAATAATATTATTTATTCCCAGCTCGGACCTCTCGGGATGAGTAAATTCGGACCTCCGGGTTGAAAATCCATTTGTCAGCAACCGTGGGAGTCTCGGTACAGGTCTGGTTCAGTTCCCACGATTGGATCACAGGATCAAACCATTACTTAAACAGGACGCAGCGAAAACGTTCTTCGACATAGAAACCATCCTTGAATTTGCTACTTTCCGACCTCAAGAACCTTCAGATTGACATAGCAGACAGAGTCGCAGTCGAAACTCCACGAGCGCTGTCCGTGCCACTGCTGATTGCCAGGGATTGACTTGACGAGTTACTGGATAGGGGAAGTATAAGAGGACGTATTAGCACTGACAATGACGCTTTCAAATTGAGACAAAAATGGGCCGTAACACAAAGCGAAAGAGTGGGCAAGTTCCCATGCATAAGTTACCGAACTCGAAAAGCTGGGCTTCTCTTTTTCACCACAACGAAAGCAGTCACTCGCTGGGGAAATGTGGGTTCGACTTCCACCCGAGGCATGCCTTGAAAACTGGGCGGAAATTTTTGTTTCTGTTTTCTTCCTTGCGTTCAATTCCCGGTTATGAATCCGTGAATGACAAGAATTAAGGTTTCAAGCGTTCTGCTTTGCTTTACGTGTACCCGAATTGACTCGCAGGGATACACATCACTGGCTTGTGCCATTAACCAGTACGCTTCTATGAATTGCGGAATCACGTCGGCTCAAGGGGGACATTTGAGGCCACATGAGCTGATCAAGGATATGTGGGTTCGAATCAACCACAGGCATGATGATGGTGTTTCTTTTTCACCAGATTCGATTAATGCTTCGCGTCTTCATCGTCCAGTGATACCTCACAAATGAATCCGGTGTATGCCCATGTATGGTCAAATGAAATTCCCCTTGATGATAACTCCCAACTTTGCAACCATGAGTGCAACCCATGCTACTTTTCCTTGAGATTTCCACACCTGAATGGTCGCTTTTTTATTTAAACATCATTAAGATCCAATACCAGTCCGCCAGCTTCGAGTTTACATAAGTCTGTGGATGAAATGAAATGACCTCGCCTCCGTAGTTTGGGGTCAGAGAAAATTCCAAGATGAGATGTGGGTTCTGGGTTCAATCCCCACCGGGGCTTGGCTGAAATACGAATCCAGAAATGATTGAAGATCACCTGTCTGGGCGGGATTCCAGGTTTGCAACATGCAGCTGTCCATTGACATTGCTCCGCATCTTCATTCCAGAGATCCCCCGAATTTACCTGAAACCACACCTTAACGAGGGGCGTTTAAAGGTGTTCTGGCCTCTGTGGACGACGGGCATCACCTTGGGTACCTAGAGAAAGTTCAGGATATGTGGGTTTGATACCCACCGGAGGCATGTCGGTGCTTTTGCTGCACCTTTTTTGGGGCGGTGGTCTAAACGTTGGTTGTAAAACCTCCACACGAATGAATAGCGTAGGGCGGGCGTGTTGCAGGAATGTATATACTCCGGCATATAATTATGTATCTTACTACCCCCAATTCGCTCGTGTCAAACTGACTGTCACAGTGACCAATTATCCGGGTACAGTGGTGGCCTTACAAGCCTCTGTGGATTATGGAATCACATCACTTGAATGATGTTTGTCGAGAAAGTTCACGAGGAGATATGGGTTCGAATCCCATCGGAGGCGTGTAGTTGTTTCACATGTTCTTTCGCCCCCTCGGCCCAGTGCTTGCCTTCATAATCCCTGAATTCAACGGATGGATGGGGAACAATTGACGGTTCAACCCATTTCGAAATGTTCAAGGGTTGAAATATATTTGAGGCATAAGGAAGAAGAAGCTTTAAAGTCTTTTGTGCATTTGAACTCGCAGGCACCTCACCAAGGGCTGAATACGAGCCAGTACGTTTCTGTGGATTGTAGAAATCACCTCATTTCAGTTTAGATAGGAATGTCACCCTTGCTTGAGGAAAAGTGGGGTCGACTCCCACCGGAGGTCTATCTGTGGTCGTTTGCGTTTTTGGTTGATTTTTTTGGTTGCATCCTGCTTGTGATTGTGCTCATAATTTCTGGATCCAAACAGACCAATGAAAGCTTGAAGACATGTTGAATTCTCTTTGGGAGGGACCTCCGAATCAAACTCCCCCATTGCTTTGGAAATTCACTCACCTATCACCCAGGGCGGGATTTCAGTCTGTACGCCTCTGTGGATGATGGAAATCTCCGTCACTCATCGAGAGGAATGCGCGACTGGGGCAGCTCGTCGATCGCGTTGCTCTCGCGGCTCTCATGGCCCGCGGGGCTCTCGTGGGCTAGCTGCTGCTGGGGCATTGCGCTTCTAGCTCAATCAACTGGGTGTATGCAGTGGGGCGACGTCTGAATTCTGGAGTTATGCTGTAGCGGCTTGCTTTTTGGACTTAGAGTGCACGGCGCATTGCCTTACTGTGCCCTGGCCTCCGGCTTTTCCTTCACGAGGCTGTGGTCTCCGGTCCTACAACGCTTTCACGGGCTCTGCCTTCCCCGTTTCTACATAACCTCCACAAAAGTCGATGCCGCTCGTAATAGGAAACTTCCCCCTCCTCATGCGCTCGCGAGCGGGAACGCCATCGTGTTGGAGGCGGGTGGCTCGTTCTTCTTCCTTGCACCATTTCCTTTTCGTTTTTTTGCGATGAACCTCGGCGGCCGCTGGGCACTAGTTTTTTGCGATTGGGTGCGGAGACGGAAAGAATACTCACACTAGCGCGTGGAGAGAGGGTGGCGGGAGGGATGCTGTCTTCGCATCATCTCCTTCCGTGGTACCTCTCTCGCGACTGACTAGGGATTCCGGTTGTCGGCACACATTCCCCATTTTCAACATGTGCCCATGCGATGTGGCCTTCAATGAATCAAGTGGTTAGGCGGTTTGGTTGCTCACTCAGGTGATAGAAGAATTAAACTGACCTAGGAGGATGTAGACTGGTTCACGGATGTCCTACCGGCTCTTCTATACTTTTAATATTATCTAGTCCACTACATCTGACGAAACTCGGCCACCCGGCGGCTGCTCAGTGCTTCTGCTTATTTCCGGTTTCTTCTCGAGTCTCGACGCTCCATACCACATTAAGAATTTGAAACGTCGCTGATTGACTGCGCGTGCGTAACAGAAGCATTTATCGAAAATATGCGATGGATTATTTATTTTTCATCTGCGAACTTTGACGGTCAGGGTCGCCGGGATTGCGCCCAGTCTTTCAAGAGCGTTCGCGCGGGATCACGGGCAGATAGCCTTAGCGCCACTGCCTTCGTCGTGTTGGGGGTCCACAGCGCTCATCTCTATTTTCTTCCTCATGCTGACGCTTTCGCGACTGCGCGCACCTCATCGAGGCTTCAGTCTACCTCAATCAAGTATCACTGGCGCGGTCCCATAATAAAATCAACTGCCTCTCTCCAGCCGTACACGCCTCAACCAACCCTTCATGAATCTCACCTCTCCGACAGCCCGCTGGCAGCCATTCCAAATTGCACGGTCGTGAACGCCGCAATCAGAAGCGCCATTACCTGGCCCGATGAGCCCACGATTGCGTGCACGCCCGCCACATTGTTCCACAACAACATGAATTCCGCGCCTGCAACATCGAACGCGAGGCCCCAGAAGAGCTTCTGCGCTAGCGTTGCCCACGGGACGATGCTCCGCCGGAACCTGTTGTTCTTTCGGCGCCTCCGCCAAGGGATTGTGTCCGGTGGGACGGGTGTTGATTGTGTTATGGAGGTGGGGAAAGGGGCATGTCTGTTCGGTTCCGCTGTCCGGATCGCAGGTGGCTGGCGCAGCCGAGGGGTGGATGTGAGATTCAAGCCTGAGGACGTGGGGGCCCGTCCGAACAAGGGACTCTGATCAATAACGTCCAGGGAAATTTCTGGGGGCCCATTTTTCAGTCCATCCACCGGGGGCCTGTGCAGCTGTGGCACTTGTGGAGCGACAGGAATTTTGGTGCGCGCGGCGCACCGGGCACGGCTGAAAGGCACTACAAAGGCGAGAAGGACAGCGCCGATGCAGAGAACATATGCGGCGATCCAGACTAATATCGCGGGGCCGCTCGCGCGCTGGCGAGAGAAGGTGTATATCCAGATTTCGCAACCCGGGCTGAGCCCCGCATCCATGCGCCTTGTGGTCGCCCACAGGCCGACGAATAACTGGAATAGTACGTTGATTACGAAAAGTAAGTCCAGCAGGCGGCCCCACAAAGCCGCACGGCGGGACTCTGGTATAGTGACGGGGCGGATCGTGGTTAGGCTGCCTACGATAAATGAATATTCACCCCAATAGTGTCAGTAAATTATCATCACAGGAATTGGATATCAGCACGGACCTAGCATGAAGAGCGTCACCATGGCATCGAACGGCGTGAGTTGTCGCTGGATTGCTTTCAGAATCAGAACGCACTCCATCGACACCACCGTGAACAAGCAGGGGATCTCGATTGTGAGGCCCGCTTCCCATTGCATAGAATCGCGAAGGATCTCGAGGACCATTTGGCTGTAGACGGATATGCGAACGCCTAACCCGTACAGGTCCGAGTCTCCAACGATTTGGCAGTCAAGCTCTGAGATGGAGCTCATGACTGGACGGAGCAAAAGGAATTGAAAGCTAACGCGTGCCCCCGCTCGGCACGCATCCACAGTTCTGCCGCTGTCGCCAAGCTGTCGCTCATGCTTTGTGGCAGCTAGCCTGGACGTGCCTCGACACAATTTCTTATTCCCAGCGATACTCCAATGCCCTGTGGCTACATACGTTGAAGTTCGGTAGAAGTTATTCCGCTGAAAGGGAAAATCAATTACAATATGGCATGCCTGTTCGTTGCCATCGAGGACCGCCAAGTGATGCCATCAGCACAGCCACATATACTGAATCGACACGCGAATTTGCCCGTAGCCGAACTTTGACCTAATGGCCTGAGTGACAAGGGGGTATCACGTGAGCGAGATGTCATACACAGATGGTCGGTCGGTCTCCCCAGCGGACCCTTAAAAAACTTTTTCCAAAACAAGTCAGAGCAGCTTCCATAGGATCATAATTGACCCTGGTACACTTCCTTACAGTTTCTTCTGGTTCTAGATGCATTGCAGACAGGGGTATGACCGTAAGTGCTGAATATGGAAATTGATTTCGGCAATCATCTGTCTTCTGACAGGTGGCAGTAGGACTTCCAAACAGAGGCAAATATTCTACTGAAGTTACCCTGACCCTCATGCACTGCGTATCAGGCTTCTATTTACCTGTGAACAGCATGAACATGAGCTACATCTGAACTGAGCCAAATTCTGAAGACTTGCTGAAGACATCGGAAATAAAGCATGTGACAAATTCTCTTAAAAGGAAATATTATGTCATCCGGTGATTGCCGTGGTCGGTCGGTCCCCTGGTCCAAGGCTTAATGCGTAATTCAACGGGTATGCTTAATTTTTTTTTTGCTACCCCCTTGCTGAGTAATAGGCCCAAATAAAAACTTCAAGACAGGCTGTAGTCGAAATATTGACAGGTGGAATGAATTCAGTCTTGAGGTGGAATAGCAAGAGTTGTGAACCTAGATCTGAATTCACACTGTCTCGCCCGGGGTCGAATAAAGATCTATACACCTCTGTGGATTAAGGAAATCACCTCGGTACAATAGTGATTAATGGATGGAGTAAAATTGAGCGAGGAAATGTGGGTTCGACTCCCACCGGAGGCATGCGAGGGCAGTATCGCCTTTTGATTTTGTGCCCCCTGGTTGGTTCACAACTCAGCCCGTCTTGTCTTCAGACTTGCTTTAAATCTAATTGACCGATGGACCAAGGCTCGAAATCCAAGTTCCAAGGTTAAATGTCAAAGGGTTGAAATCTCTTTTGAGGTTGAAGAGCGAGATTTATGGAGATTTGTGAACGCAGGACTGAATTCACTCGCACCTTACCAATGAATATGCATGCCTCTGTGGATTAAGAAAATTGCCTAGGTTCAATGGCCGTTAACCTTGGGAGATGTGGGTTCGATTCCTACCAGAGGCATGTCTCGCTTTGTGTTGGTTTTTTATTTTATTTTCCTGATGAAATCATGTTTGACTCTAAACTGACTGATGGGCCGAAATCTAAGCACACGGCAAATGTTAACACGTTGAAATCAGTCATGGGGTGGAAAGGAACCCAGGCCTGAATTCACACCTTACCAAGGGCCGAATATGGGTCTGTATGCCTCTGTGGATTAAGACAATCCCCTCGGTTCCATGCGTGGGTTGACTGGGGAGATGTGGGTTCAATTCCCACCAGAGACATTTGGCGATTGTGTGTAGTGTTTTATTTTGTTTCCGTTGGTGGGTTGAATCCTTGGTTCGCGTCTTGCCTGGATCTAAACCGACCGTCGATCTAAGCTTCAAGAATCGAGACATGTGACAGGTGAAATATTGCTAGTGGTGGCAAGGTTCGGTTCGGAAATCGGTCCGAACCTGAACCGGACGCGCGTTCGGCGTTCAGGTTCAGCGAGTACTTGAACCTGAACCAAAGGTTTGGTTCAGCGTTCAGCGGAGAGCAGGCGCGTTCGAACGCCGAACCTAAAAATTGGTCAGGTGAGTGATTTCTAAACGAGTTTCTCCACTGTTCGCGCTCGATTTACCTCACATTACATAGCTTGGGTATTTATCCATTGCAGAACACACCTAAACCTTCTCTTCGAGGCAAAC